AGAGGTCTGTAGGGGGCGTGCATAAGCATACCAATGCTCCTACCATCCCTGTCCTATTGTTTCTTTTTATTTTTCTTATATGTATCTATTTCATGTATTCTTAACTATTTTTATACTTATACCTGTTATCTTATAATTGCTTGAGTAAATAAATAAATAAATAAATAAATAATAGCCTCCAGGCAGGCAGAAATCATCTGGGCTTCATGGAGCGCCACTCGCCTCAGCTGTCCCGCTCCAATGTCAACCAGAAGTCCTCATAAACATTTCCTTAGTCCAGTTCCATATGCTTCAGAAATATTTTTGATTCAGACATTGTCTGTCTGTCCTGTCTCATCCTCATTACCTTCAAAATGCTTATCCAAGCTCTTCTCCAATCCAAGCTCTTTTCTTCCTCTTTATACCCAGCACCTGCTTACCTTTTAGCTCAAACCACCTACACCATTGTAGTCAAAGGGAGAAATGTGGCTTTCTTTTTCCAATAAAGTTAATATTGGTTCAATTAGTGCCAGATCTTCCATGTTTAAGGTAGGGGAATGCTAATCCTACCTCCACTCAGCCTGAGATTAATAAAATTCTATGATGTAAGCCAGCTTGATTCCTGAAGGCAAATTTAGCATTAGTTTTTGCTAAATTTAGACAGCATACAGAGTATGCTAGAGTCACAAAATCATACTAAAAACTATTGTTCCAGATTTTGGCAAAAGTTCTGTACATTAAATTATATTTCAAACTTGTTGATGTCCTCATATTCTTAGTATCATACAAACCATCCAGAAAATTTGATATGACATCTAAGGAAACAATTATCTTGGCTTTTGGCATGACATCATAGAAAAAAAACAATATAGTAGTGACAATTTTACTATTGACACTAATATTTAGAAGCAGAGGTTTGAGTGTTTGCACACAGTATTTTTTATCATAAAGCATCTATAAGAAAATAGATTAAAAATGAATGCCAAACAGAAAAACTTGAATAGACATATTTTCCCCCAATCTCCATTCTCACTTTTTTTAGTTAACTGATTTAGGGTAAAATATGTCCCTTCTCTGCCTTATGTACCCATTCCCCTCTTCCAATTTATTAAATATAAATTAAAATATTAACTTTTTACATGCTATGCTCTTGGACTTTTTTTTTTTTTGCAGCTATCAGTTCATTCTAAACTGTTATTTCTGTTATAAATCCTAGGAAAGAGATATGCATTCTCTGCCTCTTCAAGCTGATGGTACAGTTGGATTTCCCTTCCCCCAGGACCACTATTTTCTTTTTGTCCCTTTCTTGAGCTTATCTGATGTAATAAATCACATCTAAAGGCAGTGATTAATAATGAGACACTTCACAGCAAAAGCTCTGGAAAAGAAAAAACATACAAGGAAATTGAGTAAACAGGCAGGGTTATCTGTCACCAAATGACAAGTTCAAGTTTAAGAAGCAGCTTGTCAAATACAGTCAACTGAACGAATGATAGATTAGGTCTTAATAGCACTAAAAGTAAGCTATAAACCATTGCCTTCTCTGGCAACATAAAAGCTTCTCCTTTAAGCACTTGGTGATGAACTCCAGTAAAACAAAATAAAAAATAGTTCTTGGGCATGTGATGTTTCCTTCCCTAGCTTAAAAACAGAAAGCATGTTGACATTTTATATAGCTTGAATTCTACAAAGGTCAATGTTATATTTTCCTTTGTAAACAAAAATGATGGAGATCAGTCTTATAGTTTTGACCACTTAGAGACTATTACACACAAAACTGACCTCAAGATCGCTTTTCAGTTACCTATTAATCTGTATCCATTACCTATTTTCCACACTGCTCTTTTTCATTCTCAATTAAGTATCTTTTTCATTATGGAATATTAAAGTTACAGCCTGTACACCTTTATGAGCTAAAAGAGATTGTTCACAAGTTTAATTTTTTTCACAAATAATAATTATTGTCTTGGTATACAATTCTTGAAGTTAAGGCAGCAAATTCCTTTTTCTCTTTTCTGAAGCTATTTTATTTCACTTTCCTTGAAGATTTGTTGTTGATTACAAATTTCATTATTGTTTTATAATTGTTATAATTTATAATTATTATTTTCAATAACTGAAAAAGTTTGAAATTCTTGCTTGAGCATGTAAGTTTTCAGGACAGCTAAGGAGACCAGGCAAGACATATGCAGGTATGCTTAAGTTATGCATAGATATCTATGAGTCTAATGGATTACATCCCAGAGTTTTAAAGGAACTGGCAGAGGTCATCTCAGTACCATATCTTTCAAAAATCCTGGAGTACTGGGGAACTAGCAGAGGACTGGAAAAGAGCTGATATCTTCAAAAAAGGAAAAAGAAACAGACCCAGGAAATTATCGACCAATCACCCTAACATCAATATCCAGGAGGACACTGGAAAAGAAAATAATAATAAAAAAATAGATCTGCCAACATCTAGAAACAAGTAAAGTAATAACTAGCAGTCAGCACAGGTTTGTTAAAAACAGATCATGCCAAACCAATCTTATTTTATTCTTCAACATAGTGACTAACTTAGTAGAACAGCAAAATACTATGGACATAATATATTTAGATTTCAGCAGGGCATTCAACAAAGTAGACCACAACTTACTTCTTGGTAAGATAGAAAAAAGTAGAATAGATAGCACCACCACCAGATGGACTCGCAACTGGCTGACAAACTGTACTCAACGTGTAGTCCTTAACTGGTCTAAGTCTACATGGAGGGAAGTAAGCAGTGGGGTGCCACAAGGTTTTGTGACAGTAAAAGGTTCTGGCCCAGTACTCTTCAGTATCTTCATTAACGACTTAGATGAGGGAATAGAAGGGGAATTTACCAAATTTGCAGATGATACTAAACTGGCAGGAATAACTAATACCCAAGAAGATAGGCTCAAGTTCCTGATGGATCTTGACAGACTAGAACACTGGGCTGTATCTAACAAAATGAAATTCAATGTAGAGAAAAGTAAAGTCCTACACTTCGGCAAGAAAAACCAAAAGTACACATACAGACTGTGTGAAACCAGGTTCAATAGCAGTAACTGTGAAAGCGACCTTGGAGCCTTAGTGGACAACCAGCTAAATATGAGCCAGCAATGTGCACCAGCAGCCAAAAAAGCTAATGCAATCCTAGGTTGCATTAACAGAGGGATACAATCAAGACCAAGGGAGGTATTAATACCACTCTATAAAGCCTAGAGACCATACCTATAGTACTGCATCCAGTTTTGGTCACCACATTATAAAAAAGATGTTGAGACACTAGAAAAAGTACAGAGAAGAGCAACCAGGATAATTAGGGATTGGATTAGGATTAGATGACTGGAGACTAAAACATATGAAGAATGGTTACAGGAATTGGGCATGGGTAGTCTAGTGAAGAGAAGGACAAGGGGAGATATGATAGCAGTCTTCCAATATTAGAGGGGTTGCCACAGAGAGGAGGGGGTCAAGCTATTTTCTAAAGCCAGGCAAGGAATAATGGATGGAAACTGAACAAGGAGAGATTTAACCTTTAAATAAGGAGAAACTTTCTGACAGCGAGAACACTCAACCAATGGAACAGTTTGCCCTCAGAAGTTGTGGGAGCACCATCACTTGAGACTTTCAAGAAGATATTGGACTGCCATTTGTCAGAAATGGTGTAGGGTCTCCTGCTTGGGCAGGGGGTTGGACCAGATGACCTACAAGCAGTTGGTAATCTACTGGTTTGGACTGGTTCTATAGAACCAGTAGTTCTGATTCTGCGCAGTTCGGAGAACCAGCAAATCGTGCCCCTGGCTGCCCCCTCCCCTCCCACCCACTCGCCCTGCCCAGTCACTCCTCATCTCGCCTGCCATTACTAACCTGCCTTTGCCCACCATTGCTGCCTGCCTTCTGCTGAGGCCTTGATCTCCCTGGGTGAGTGAGCCTGCAAGCAAGCCCCAGTTGAATCAACTCCCTGGCTGGCCTAGGCCACTGTGCTGTCCCCCCACTATTCCTGAGCTTGCCTGGCTTGCTTCTCTGCTGGTACATTCTCCTTCTCCCTCTGGCCAGGAAGAAGCTGCATGGCCATGGCTACACTGGCTGGGAGAAAGTTCTCCTTCTCCCCCTGGCCAGGAAGCTGCATGGCGAAGCTGGCTGGGAGAACAAAATCCCTAACATTTTCTTTTCCTAGCTGATTTGCAGCTCCTTTGCATTTCTTACTATTCTATCTCAGAACAAATGGGGGGGCCACACCAGAGCATCTCAATAACACACTTTATTCAGGGGAATAAAGGGGGCTGTCGCGTCTGTAAGCTAACAACAGACCTTCCAGCGAACAGCGGCTGGCCCGACCTAGCAGCCGGCTTTTATAGCCGGCTGTCGAAGGGAGCCAGCCAATGGGGGCTACAAACGCAGTATGAACGGACCTGAGGGGGAACTTGTGTCCGTCCCGAGGACATAACACCCCTTCCCCCTAGATATGAACATGAATAGTCTTTTAAGTAAGCTGGTGGTTTGTGTGAGCGCCCCGACCGGCGCAGTTCTGGCAATGCACAAGGTGGCATAGAGTTCTGGAAGTCAGGAACTGGCCTTGCCGGGCAACAGTCCTCGGGTTGGATTGTTAAATTGTCATTGTCACGCAACCCGGTGGTGTCGTCGTCTGGTATGGCTGATGACTCCGTAGGACGGTCCCGGTCTACCGTCTGCTCCCTTGACTCGGCTGGTGGCGACTGATCACTCTGAAGGTCCCAGCTAGGATTCGGGTGCGGTGATTGGAGGGTCACTGAAGTTCCTGGGTCAGCGTTGGCATGTTCGCCCTGGCAACTTCTTATCTGGTCCAGATGCCTCCGCCAGATACGCCCGTCCTCCAACTGGATACGGTATGACCTTGGCCCGGTGATGGCCACGATCTTCCCAGGTACCCACAGGGGATCGCCTGTGTAGTTCCTGACGAAAACTTGGTCCTGTAATACAAAACTCCTAACCCTAGTGTTAGAACCCAATGGGGTGTCTGGGCAATAGTGGGGATGCAGTCTATCTAGCACTGTCCTTAGACGCCTGCCCATCAGTAATTCGGCTGGAGACTTGTTTGTGACAGTACATGGGGTCGAGTGTTGGCTTAAGAGAAAGCGAGAGAGTCTGGAGTGCCAGTCGTCTTGAGTGAATCTTGCCAATGCCTCTTTTGCTGATCTAACGGCTCTTTCCGCCAACCCATTGCTGGCGGGATGAAAAGGGGCCGTTAGGATATGCCAGATGCCCAGGTTGGTGGCATACCGGCTGAATTCTGTAGACGTAAATTGGGGGCCATTGTCTGAGACTATGGTGTCAGGTAGACCGTGTGTAACAAATAAACGGGTCAGGGCCTGGGCAATTGCTCGGGTGGTGGTTGTGGGTAGGAGAGCCACATCGATCCATTTGGAGAACGAATCCACGACCACCAGGAAGGTCTTGCTGTGGAAGGGCCCGGCCAAGTCAATGTGCAACCGTGACCACGGTGCGTTGGTACTTTCCCATTTGGTTGGGGTGGTGATCGGTGGCGCTGGCCTGGATTCCTGACAGGGGCGGCAGGAGCTTACCCATTTCGTGATCTCGTCGTCCATGCCCGGCCACCAGACATAACTCCGAGCCAACGCTTTCATCCGGACGATGCCAGGGTGCCCCTCGTGTAACGCCCTCAGGACGGGTGTGCGCAGCGGTTTTGGGATGACAACTCTGGTCCCCCATAGCAGGCAGCCCTGTAAACTGAAAAGTTCTTGCTGGCGGGTTTTGAACGGTGAGAATTCAGTTGAGAGGTTACCGCCCAGCCACCCCCTCCGTACCCAGTCCAGAACCTGGGCGATAAGTTTATCTTTTTTGGAGTGGAGAGCGATGTCGCCAGCGGTGACTGGGATGTCGAACTCGTTGGCATCGAAAATGGCATGGACCGGGGCCGGATCCTCCACGGGTGCTGGCAACAGGCAGCGGCTGAGGGCGTCGGCGTGGCTGAGGTTTTTTCCTGGGCGGTGAACCAGTTTGTACGAGTAGGCCGCCAGGAATAGGGTCCACCTAGTCATTCTGGGGGATAAGACTTGCGGAGTTTGTTTTTCTCCAGAGAGGAGCCCCAAGAGTGGTTTGTGATCTGTGACAAGTTCGAAGTTGTGGCCAAAAAGAAATTCATGGAATTTTTTGACCGTGGCAACAGCGGCTAGGGCCTCTTTGTCGATTTGGCTATAATTACGCTCGGTTGTGGACAAGGTTCTAGAAAAGAATGCGATTGGTGCTTCGGAGCCGTTGGGAAGTCTGTGGCTTAATACAGCCCCAATCCCGAAAGGTGAGGCATCTGCAGCTAAGACTAGAGGAAGGTGCTGGTCAAATTGTATTAGGACAGCGTCCGAAGTGAGAAGCGATTTGACTGCCTTAAAGGCGTATTCCTCTTTGGGACCCCAATGCCACGTGAATGGCTTTGACTTTAGACTCCACGGGGTGGATGCCAGAGGCGTCTATTTTATACCCAAGAAAGTCCACCTGCCTAGTGGCGATGGCACACTTCTCCCTTTTTAGTTTGAGGCCATGCTGCCTGAACCTATCCAGTACCGCTCTGACTCTGAGAAAAAGTTGGGGCCTGTCCCTGGCTGAAATCAATATGTCATCAAAGTACGGAACTACGCCAGGGAGGCCTTGCAGTATCCGTTCCATAAATGACTGGAAGATTCCTGGGGCGACGGTAACGCCAAATTGGAGGCGCTTGCATCGAAATGCCCCTCTGTGGGTGACAATAGTTTGCAATTCGGCCGTTTGGTTATCCACAGGAAATTGCTGATAGGCCTGTGACATATCCAATTTGGCGAATATCGTCCCCGGTTCAAATGTGTGTAATAAGTGTTGGATTACTGGGACTGGGTATGCGCTAGTCTGTAGATAGCGGTTTATTGTGGTCTTATAGTCAGAACACATTCTTATAGAACCATCTTTTTTTAGGGGTGTGACAATTGGAGTCTCCCATTTAGCAAACTCCGTGGGCTCAATCACCCCTTGTTTTAGCAATTTGTCCAGTTCCGCGTCCAGCTTAGCGCGCAGGGCAAATGGTACTCTGCGCGGTTTTAAACAGACGGGAACTGCTTGGGGGTCCACCGAAAAGGAGATGGGCGTACCATTATAACAACCTAATTCATTGCTGAACACATCAGCATAGTCTGAAAATAGTGAGTCGATATCGGAAGGCGAGACAGCATGTACTCCCGTTAAGCTAAGGCCGAGATAGGGGAACCAATCCAACCCCAAAAGGCTAGGGAGGTTACCATCTACCACCACCAAAGGCAGATGGCCTTTAAAGGATTTGAACCTAACGAGGAACTTGCCTGTTCCGAGTACTGGGATATTCTTCCCCTGGTAATCCCTCAAGGTGAGACGACTCTTCTGGAGTTGCTTCCTGGACATGCTGGGTCATATTTTCTTAAGTGTGCTCCACGAGATGATCGATAGTGCCGATCCGGTATCGACTTCCATAAGACAGGGTTTACCTTCTAAATGAATAGAGAGGGTAATTTTATTAGGTGTCAAAAAAGTGTGGTTATCTTGGTAGCCCGTATAACAATTTTCTACTTGCCTGGGTGGCCCCGGAGGGGAGTAAGGGGAGGATGCCTTTTGTGGAGCCACGTGTGCTGCCTGGCAGGCCCTGGCGATGTGGCCTTTCTTGCCGCAATTGTTGCAGGTGGCGTTCCTGAACCTGCAAGTCGTTCTGGCATGGGACCCCCCGCAGGAGAGGCACATCAGGATGTTTTTGGGCACGTTGCCGTTTTTTGGCCTAGCTCCTACCTGTGACTGTTTGAAAGGTTTGATGCGATGCACCTCTAAGTGTTCGGTGGGGTCTTCTTCACTCACTGCTTCCTCGGAATGAACAGTGACCGGACTGGGTTTGGTTGCGCTTCCTTGTATTTCAGCGGCCGACTGTCGCTAGTTCAGTGGCCAGAGCTTCCTCGATTGCCTGGGTGAGGTTGAGATCTTTTCTGGCCAGCAACCGCCTCTGTAACCTTACATCTCTGACTCCACAGACGAGCTGATCCAGAAGCATGTCGTCTAGGTAATTTTTAAACTCGCAGTGGAGAGCTGCGGTTCTCAGGGCGGCCATATACTGATTGATAGATTCTCCATCTGTTTGTTTCCTCATACGAAAGGCAAAACGTCTCGCTATCTGCGATGGCTTTGGGGAATAATGGTTAGAAAGTGTCTCCAACAGCTCGGACTACGGAACGTTCTTTAATTCCCTTGGGGCGAGTAGCGCTGTGGCGGTATCGAATACTGTGGCCCCGCAGTAACTCAGGAAGTACGATTTCTTCCTGTTTTCTGTAGCGTCGGCCAGACCGATGGCATCAAGGTAGTGATTGAAGCGGTTTCTGTAAGAGTCCCACTTATCTTCATCTGGCTTAAATGGCGGAAACGCCGGATTTGAATTCATATTGGGTGTTCAGTCTGTTGGTAGACTGACCAATCTCTCTCTGGGAATACAAAAGGCCCTGATAAGAGTGGCAGCTGCGGCTCGCAGTGCTGCTTCAGCTCTAGAGGATCTCTCTGGGTTACAGCTATTGCTGTAGCGCCATAACTGACTTCCGTTTGAATTTCGCGCCCTTACAAGGGCGTAGGCGGCTATAGCTGTAGCGTCGTGCTGACAGCTATTCAAATCGCGCGCCTATTTGTTCTGGCGGCTGTGAGTGCGCGCCGAAAGCTTCGCTAACAAGCAGAATCCAAACAGCAGCGGTTGGATTCTGTGCTCAATGCTGGGCGGCTGAGGTTCTCAGTGCCCCACTTTTCTCACGTAGCTTTTTTTGACTTGAGCGGCTACACGCTCCACTTTCACTTCCACAATCAACGACTGACCGAGCTCTCAACGGCGCGGCTACGGTTCAGCGTTTTGGTGTGTACTTCAGCTCTTTCGTATTGCTGCTGGTTGGCCAGATCCCACCTTCGTCGCCAATATTCTATCTCAGAACAAATGGGGAGGCCACACCAGAGCATCTCAATAACACACTTTATTCAGGGGAATAAAGGGGGCAGTCGCGTCTGTAAGCTAACAACAGACCTTCCAGTGAACAGCGGCTGGCCCGACCTAGCAGCCGGCTTTTATAGCCGGCTGTCGAAGGGAGCCAGCCAATGGGGGCTACAAACGCCCCCGCAGTATGAACGGACCTGAGGGGGAACTTGTGTCCGTCCCGAGGACATAACACTTACCATCACGTGCAGGGAATGAAAAGTTTGTATGTGGCTAAAAAAAGTTAGATCAATCAATTCCAATTTCTAGCAAAAGAAAAAAATCGCACAAAGTTGGAATTGACTGAGTGATTTTTTTTTTTAGCCCCACACAAACTTTTCTTTCCCTGCACATGATAGCAAGGAACGTGAAGGAGCTGAAAATCTCATAGGTAAAGAAATGCTTGGGAGAAGCAAGGGCATCTGGGCAATGGTGGGTGGGGAAAGCTCCATGGTACCATGCTACAATGGTGAAACAGGCAACGGAGTGGCTGGCATGAAGTAAGGAAGAGGCTACCTGCTGCCCTTCTCTTCTCCCTGTTCCTCCTGCTCCCCTCATCCTGGTTGCTCCATTTCTCAGTTCTACATTGCAGTGCAACACCCAGGAATCCACTTTGGTAGCATGGGGGGGGGGGGATAATTTGCCTAGCCAAACTAACCCTGCACAGTCTATGCTACATATATTGGGCTCAGCAGCAGCTTTGATTGGGTTGCTCAATCGGTGGTGAACAAAAGAAGCCCCATCATGTTTTGAAACAACCCCAAGGTGGGATGGGGTTTCTAAAGTGTGCATGCTCACCAACCATATTCCCCAGCCTCTCGGCAAGCTGCAGGACCTCTCCAGGCTCAGCAGAGCCCATTTGCCTAGTGCCTTTTTAGCTGTTCCGGAGGGAAAGGGCTGGCATGTGTATGTGCTTTCTTGGGGTCTTCTCTTTTAAGGGGTGATAGCTTTGGGATTTACAGGGTTGTGGGTTGATCTGCTCCCTACCTCCTCTTCCCCCTCTTGTCCTTTGGCTTTATAGGTCCTCCCTGAGATTTGCATCTGGTTCGCTGCCTACAAGTCTGTTATTTTTGGAGGGTCCTTTTTGGACAGGGTGAGCTGCAGTTTTGCATTGATATTCAGATGGATGGGTGTGTTGCAGTGATGGGATTCAATTTCTTTTTACTACTGGTTCTGTGGGTGTGGCTTGATGGGCGTGGCTTTCTCTCTTTTTTGCTTTTTTGCAGCCACCCCCTCACCCGTTTGGGGGGGCCTTCTGGGCCTCAGAGAAGCCTCTAGGGGGGTGTTTTTGCTCCCAGAAGGCTCCCCTAGGACTCAGGAAGAAAAAAAAAACAGAGCATGGGAGGGGCACACAGCAACCCTCCATGCTCTGTTTGGGACCTTCCCGGCCTCAGAAGAGCCTCAGGGGCGGCATTTTTGCTCCCAGAAAGCTCCTCTGGGGGCTCAGGAAGGCAAAAAGTGGAGGGGGAGCTGAGCCCCTCTTTCCATTTTTTGCCTTCCTGGGCCTCAGCAAAGGGAATCCCGGCACAGCTGATCATATGAACAGCTGATTGTCGGAAGGGAAAAAAAAGAAATACCTTAAGGGGTGAGCATCAGGCGGGTGGGTGAGTGAACATCAGGTGGGCATCCCCCGAACCAGCGGGCACCGGGTGACCGAGATGGGGGCATGGCCAGCCTGAACTTCCTACCAGTTCGGTGACCCATGCCAAATCTTGCTACCAGTTCGCC